CCCACTCACCATCATGGACAGCACTGTGACTGCAGTGGAGTCATTCAGGTTCCTGTGCACCACTATCTCTCAGGATCTAAAGTGGGACACTCACATTGACTCCATTGTGAAAAAGGCACAGCAGAGGTTGTACTTCCTTCGCCAGCTGAGGAAGTTCAACCTGTCACAGGAGCTGCTGAAACAGTTCTACTCTGCTATCATTGAATCCATCCTCTGCACTTCTATAACTGTCTGGTTCAGCTCCAAAACTGACCTCAGAAGACTACAGAGGGTAGTCCGGACTGCTGAGCGAATCACTGGTACAACCCTCCCTTCTCTCCAAGAACTGTACTCATCCAGAGTGAGCAAAAGGGCTGGCAAAATCACTCTGGACCCCACACATCCAGCACACTCCCTTTTACATGTACATGTTACATGTAATAAAGAAATGAGCAGAGATGTCTAGAGGTTTTACCAAATGTTGTCTGTGATACAATTGCATGTGTAAATTAAGTCAAGCTGGTTGCCTGATATGTTAGTGCTTGTGGTGGTAAGCCATTTGAGATGAATGAATGAAGCTAGGAGTGGAAGTGGAAGTCTGCAGTATAAGGCTTCTCCAGATGGATTTCAAAGTCACCAAAGACTACAAGTGGACTGCCATCCACAGAGAATGAGGACAGCAGCCCATGCAGCTTCTCTATAAAGGTGCCCAGTTGACCAGGAAGGCGATAAATCATTACAATATGGAGTTTAACAGGAGCTGTTACCATAATAGCATGAAACTCAAAATATTTTTTATTGCATAGGGAAGAGTGGGTTGAGTATTTCCAATTATTAGAAATGAGAAGACCAGTACCCTTCCAACCTGATGGGGGGCGTGAGAGAAAGGGAAGTTGTTAGAGAGAACAGCAGGGGTTGCGGTGTCTTCTGGACGAATCCAGGTCTCAGTCAAGATACTAAGAGTAGACTGAGAAGTCAATGGCTGGAATGAAGTTTGTTGACAGCTGACTGACAATTCCAGAGACCCACAGAAAATGACAGAGGTGCAGCAGAAGAGGTGCAGAATAGAATGCAGCTTAGCAAGATTGCGTTGCCATCTGCTTGTGATGTTAGAGCATTGTTGAGAGAGAACAGGGATGTATGGGAAACATACTACCGCCTACCTGACTCTTCCTGAGAGGTAAGGAAAAATACACTTACTTGAGATGATATTTTTTTTATATTTCTGAAATATATGATTGTATTCTTGAAGACATTCTTTTATTGTACTATTGAATAAAATATTAGTTAAGCTGGTGGTTTGTGGTGGGCGTTCTGGTGCAATATGGCTGCTGTAGCATCATCCAGGTGGATGCTGCACATTGGTGGTGGTTGAGGAGATTCCCCCTTCCATGCAAAGCGCTTTGAGTATGAGTAAAGCGCTATATAAATGTAACAATTAATAATTAAAACAATCTTTTATTGTACTATTGAATAAAATATTAGTTAATTATCAAAGAAAGAAATATTAATAGCCATAATAGGGTCTTTTGTAAATGTGGTGATACTGTGATGCTCAGATACTGTGATTTCCTTCTCACATTGCTTCACCTGAACAGTTTCTGTTGCTGTATATGGTATCATTGTAATCCTTGACCATCAAAACATATGGGTAGACATCACCTTTTTTGTGTTATCATGTTTGGTTCAGGAGATATGAAAATACATAATTTGGTTATGGTGGAAAGTAAAATGGTCGCCATGGCAACCACGAGGTGTTTTTGCCATGGCTCCATTTCTGAAAAAGTTCAGGGCCCTAACCTGTACAATTGTACCAAGTTTTATGCTTTTATGAAAACGTGAGCATATCACTTCAAATTTTTCACATATCACCTACTTGGTATGTGAAAGTGTTAAAATCATATAAAACCATATTGATAAACCACCTCAAAGTACCTAATTATTAGTAAGCATCTTATGTATGTGTACAGCATTACATCCTACACAGAGTGGGGGTACAGAACAGGACACAGAACCGTGAGGGGTTTGTGATGAAAGAGGTCACCAACCCTGCTGAGGCCACGCTGCACCAGACCACATATCAAACAGCGCACTGCACCACTTCCAACAGATATCAAACAAATGAAGCAAGCGGACAGCCAGTCCCCTGGCACAGGCATAATATTATCACAGGTAATTTAGTCACTGCATATGCACACAAAAGGGCGTTCAACGAAACTCACTTCGACAGAGGCACTTGATGTTTGTGTTGCAGTATGCAAGTGACTCACAAATGAACATGCAAAGAGCCGTTTTGCTATTTTGGGCTACAGGAGAGGAGAAGGCTGCAGCTGGGCCTTGGCAGGCCAGAAGACAGTCTGGGGAGAGCATTCTGTGTGCAGCTCGGCGTTGCGAGATGCACAGCGACTCTTTTCATTTGTACTGAAGATAACAATAAACTAATAAAATGTACTCAAAATGACACTTCATTGTGCTGATTAGAAGTCAAATAAAGTTCTACACTGCATATAGATCTTAAAAATTGTGTTCTGTGGAGTAAAATTGGTTTAAAATTTGAGGGTGCATAATTATTTGTGACCCTGGACCACAAAACCAGTCCGTATATTTTTAGCAATAGCCAAAAAAACATTGTATGGGTCAAAATTATTATCATTAGGATATGAAGTATAGATCATGTCCCACGAAGATATTTTATATCTTTATATAGATGATCTATAAATTTCAATAAAAAAAAAAAATTGTGGTCCAGGGTCACATTTGGTATAATTTGTGTGTGTGTGTTTCAGCTTTATCACCAAAAATTATTTTTAATAGTTTTAGTTGAAAATAAAGATTTGGTAAACTTAATTAGTTTTGAAGAAACCGTTTATTGTTGTGGTGAACACACTCAAACACAAAATGACAGTTAAAAGAATAAGGGGAGAAGACGAGCTTAAGACAAGCCAGTAGAAACACAAAGAAATTCAAGAAAGAGAAAATGAACATGTATATACAGCCCAGCAACAGGTGTTGGATTGGGAAGTGGCTCGAGCTAGAGGACAGTAATGAAGTCCACACAGCACTAGTACAGCAGTATGGGTCTAAGCCCCCCTACACAATCACTCCAGTTCTGTTTTTCCAGTGCAAATTTCAGAACAGTGCAGAAATGCATATTTCCAAGTCATCTGAGGAATAAACATTTCAAGACTTATGATGATGTCTTCTGTGCATCTAATCGGTTAAAGTAAATGTTCCATAGCTGTTTCACCGATTTAAAAATGAATCAAGCGCTCTTTATATTTTGCACAGACTTAACACATTTGCTATGACATGCAAATATACATGGATGCAAGCCAGCTAAAATGAACGCAACATTTCAGTGTTGGAAAAAAAAATACTTCTGATGGAAAACAAATGCATACATACATGCTGTGCAAATACCGGTCTTCTCAGAGGATCTGAAGTGGTGCAGTTGAATCGATTGAGAGAAAAACACTTGTGTTTTGAAGAGAAACATGCTATTCGATTAACCTCACTAGCAGATGAAGAGATTGTTACTTTAGAGCCAGTAGTCGAAAGCAGGACTTGCTATTGTCCCTTCACTCACCATTTGTTAGAACCAAAAACCCGGGGAGCAAGAGTTGGCACCAGGTAATCAGCCAGGCACAGGATCATGACAGCACAGGACAGACCAGTAAGCACAGAGGGGTCCAAGAAGTAGATTAGCCTGCCAATGAAGAAAGAGGCCATTAAACTCTTGCATTCACTTCATTTTTGGATGACGGTATGCAAATTATGTCACAACAAAAAACACAGACTGACGCATGATTAGCTCATAGCACAGGATATTTGCTGAAAGTAAAAGGAGGAAGAGGAAAAAAGGAATTCCTCCTTTAAAAGACATCACTATTAAGAACTTGCCTTTTCTTTGATCATTTTTCTAAAGCTGAAGAATCTTAGTCTTTATGTACTTTCTTGGACTGTTGGTCTGTGTATTAGATCTGGATATTTTAAAGTGACTCTTTGTGCAGGTTACATAGCCAGTAAAAGGCAACAAGTGACAAGTCAAAGTGACAAGTATGAGTGAGTCATTGAATCATTAAGTGAACTGATTCATTCAAAAACATTAATTTAGTCTTTATGAGCAACTCATTGAATATACTATATTGTAGGCAAAAACAGTCTGTGAAAAGAGTAATATGTTCAAATTCACTGTTTACATAAAACAGTAGGTGAAAAAAAACACAACCGTGTGTTGCTTGGAGACTAGGGGTGCAACAGTTCAACTTACTCACGGTTCGGTTTGTATCACGGTTTCGGTACGGTTCGGTATGTACTATGTTTAGGGGGAAAACTATATTGCCAAATAAAAATAAAAGAAAATAAGAACAAATAATCTAACTACAAGCAACAGCACAAATAAATAAACAGTGAAAAAGATACAAATAAAATAAACAGTGCTTTTCAGTTTTTTAAGGTAGGTCTAACATAGTTTTTAGGTACAGAAATTGAATAAATCAAATGTAAAATAACATTGCATATTTGACTGTATAAATTAAAGATGAATCCTTATTAAAGTTACAAGTTATTCAATCAAGAGCAGTGAGAGATTTCCGTTTTGAGGCTGTTTGATAACATTAAGAAAGTGCTGTCACTTTAAGAGAACTGATACTGTACGTTCAGCTGAATAGGTCTGCTAGGATACTCACCAAGAGTGGAGATCAGCACAGTGAAGATGTGCTGAGTCAAACCAACACTGTATCTGACACAGGACACTCAGCAGCAACTGCAACCTGTCACTCAAAGACACCAGAGACCCCGGCTCCTGAACTAGAGCAAGGAAAGATGCCTGGGGAGATGGACTAAAATGAAACCAGAAGAGGCAAGCACATACATGCTGTGCAAATACCGGTCTTCTCAGAGGATCTGAAGTGGTGCAGTTTAATCGATTGAGAGAAAAACACTTGTGTTTTGAAGAGAAACATGCTATTCGATTAACCTCACTAGCAGATGAAGAGATTGTTACTTTAGAGCCTGTAGTCGAAAGCAGGACTTGCTATTGTCCCTTCACTCACCATTTGTTAGAACCAAAAACCCGGGGAGCAAGAGTTGGCACCAGGTAATCAGCCAGGCACAGGATCATGACAGCACAGGACAGACCAGTAAGCACAGAGGGGTCCAAGAAGTAGATTAGCCTGCCAATGAAGAAAGAGGCCATTAAACTCTTGCATTCACTTCATTTTTGGATGACGGTATGCAAATTATGTCACAACAAAAAACACAGACTGACGCATGATTAGCTCATAGCACAGGATATTTGCTGAAAGTAAAAGGAGGAAGAGGAAAAAAGGAATTCCTCCTTTAAAAGACATCACTATTAAGAACTTGCCTTTTCTTTGATCATTTTTCTAAAGCTGAAGAATCTTAGTCTTTATGTACTTTCTTGGACTGTTGGTCTGTGTATTAGATCTGGATATTTTAAAGTGACTCTTTGTGCAGGTTACATAGCCAGTAAAAGGCAACAAGTGACAAGTCAAAGTGACAAGTATGAGTGAGTCATTGAATCATTAAGTGAACTGATTCATTCAAAAACATTAATTTAGTCTTTATGAGCAACTCATTGAATATACTATATTGTAGGCAAAAACAGTCTGTGAAAAGAGTAATATGTTCAAATTCACTGTTTACATAAAACAGTAGGTGAAAAAAAACACAACCGTGTGTTGCTTGGAGACTAGGGGTGCAACAGTTCAACTTACTCACGGTTCGGTTTGTATCACGGTTTCGGTACGGTTCGGTATGTACTATGTTTAGGGGGAAAACTATATTGCCAAATAAAAATAAAAGAAAATAAGAACAAATAATCTAACTACAAGCAACAGCACAAATAAATAAACAGTGAAAAAGATACAAATAAAATAAACAGTGCTTTTCAGTTTTTTAAGGTAGGTCTAACATAGTTTTTAGGTACAGAAATTGAATAAATCAAATGTAAAATAACATTGCATATTTGACTGTATAAATTAAAGATGAATCCTTATTAAAGTTACAAGTTATTCAATCAAGAGCAGTGAGAGATTTCCGTTTTGAGGCTGTTTGATAACATTAAGAAAGTGCTGTCACTTTAAGAGAACTGATACTGTACGTTCAGCTGAATAGGTCTGCTAGGATACTCACCAAGACGGGCATTTTGACAATTTTTGTGTGAATTTGTCCATTCAAACACAATACTTGGAGAGCTTAATATTTGCGCGCGTTCTCAGATGCAGGTTCACACACTTCGGATGAGCGACCACACAGATCTTCTCACTGCGCGCCGCGTGAGTTCACATCTTCTGGCTCTTTAATATTTAAACTGGCAAGGCTTAAATGAGTTTAGTTTAAACACCGATAGCAACGTGTGCTGTTCAGGTCTCACCTGCGCTATAAACATGTGATGACAGCATAAATGACAGTTATTCCAGCATAAAGCACTCGCATTCTCTCTCTCATCGCTCTTGTTGTAATGTATTGGGAAGCCAGAATTTGTATCCATCAACAGAAACATGCATTAGCTGAACTCTAACAAACCATATTACAGATGCATTGTCAGATTTAAGTTGAACCGTGGTCCTAGTGTATGCCGAACCGTGTGTGGAGAACCATACGGTTCGATTTTTTTACAGAGAAAATCGTGGCACCCCTATTGGAGACACAACTGTTAATTTAGGCTGTGGCTTTATTTGGCAGAGCAAAAATTGACAACATAACTGGCAACATTATTCTAAATTGAAAAATGTTATTCTATTTTTCCAAAATGTAAATTACTGTAACTGTAGTAAAAAAACTGTAATTACACTGGCATTGATGACATCATTGTGAATATTAGATGAGAATATCAGATCAGATTACAACATCATAATACATTTTTACATGTACAACCTATATAATCTGAGGCTCAAGAAAGCAAGTGTTGCTGGTAAAAACCACTAAATACTTCAAGGACTTCAGCTTTCAGTGTTTAATGGATTATTTCACTTCCAGAATAAAAATTTCCTGGTAATTTACTCACCCCCATGTCATCCAAGATGTTCATGCCTTTCTGTCTTCAGTCACAAGAAATTAAGGTTTTTGAGGAAAACATTCCAGGATTTTTCTCCATATAATGGACTTCAATGGGGACCAATGGGTTGAAGGTCCAAACTGCAGTTTCAATGCAGCTTCAAAGGGCTCTACACGATCCCAGCACAAACAAATAAAAATGTATAAACTTTAACCACAAATGTTCGTCTTGCAATAGCTCGACTTCACGCATTATGTAATCACGTTGGAAAGATCACGAGCGGTAAGCTCTTCATCATACTCTGGTTCAAAAAGGTAGTGCATGGCAAAAATCTCAATCTCATTTTCTCCTCCAACTTCAAAATCGTCCGACATCATTGTTTTAACTTTTTTTGTAAAGGGCATTTGACTTTCTTTGCACGTTTGCTTTTCTATCGCCGATGGCTGATGGATATCACGATGTTGAGCCGGCATCGTGATTCCCCCTTCCCCCGCAATCCGCCGCGTCTTTCCGAATGACGTGTACTAGGGAACCTCTAAAGGGAATAAATACGAGACGGGAGGGAAATATGTATTTCAATACTTTCTCTCGCAGTTTTATCATTGGGTAATTATAATGTACATAAATTGCGGGCATCAGGGAACCGCTTTTTTTAAAAACTGCTTTTGAATGCACGATCGCTTTTTAGTTTCACTTTCACTTTCGAAATTCGCGATTAGGGTTGGGTATCGTTTGAATTTGATCAATTCCGATTCTGCTTATCGATTCAGATTCTTTTCGGTTCCAATGTGATTAAATAATGATATCAAACATTTATCCTGTGTCTCTTTTTTTGCAAACCATTTATTGGAGCTGAATACCATGAACAAAAATCAACAGGCTACATCAAAACTGGACTCTTTAAGAGCTGTTTGTGTGCAAAATAGAACTGCATGATTCTGGATAAATTTAGTTTTTTTTCCTTCCCCAATGGAAGTTGTGGTTCTCTCATGATTCTGAAGAAAAAAACATTAGACAGCTAAACAAAATCACATGTAATTTATGAATTAATGATTAAATGACTCATTTAAGTACAAAAGATGTACTTGTTTCATTACTGGATGAATCCGCATTCTTGAACAAATCTCTTGTATGATTCAAAGACAAATACATTTTAACAGCCCCTTTTCGCCATCTACTGGCGTAACAATGTAATCGATAATCTTCATTTGAAGCGTCAAATTATTTTCAAAAGGTGATTTATTCTATTTTAATCGCTACCATACACATCGTACACACAGTTTATATCTGAAAACGGTTGAAACTTTAATCACATTACTTCTGTGATTTGAATGTTTGTAACAGAAATAATGATACTATGTGGCTGAAAAGACTGTGAAGCTGTTTCATTCATGACAGACAGCTGCTTTCTTGAGGCCAACGGCAGCATGAACGCAAATTTAAATGTTCAAATCACACTGATGTGATCGTATGCTGCACGGACAAACCAAGTGATCACAACATTGATCGCTCACGTCAAAGGTTGAGGAATGAAACAGACGAATCATTGTAATTTAGGAATAGAATCACGTTGGTGTTTGAATCGTGTTCGCGATCTTAAACGATCTATTAAATTAAAGTGCTTTGTCATGTTGGTGGTGACACCATGTTTGCAACATGTTTAGCTATCACGGATATTATACTTTGATTTTTTGGCTTCTGATCGCAAATGTAGCCAAACTTTGGAGCGCTTAGATTAGCGAGCAAGGTCCTG